AATATTTGAGGTACTATTAAATATTTTTTATGGTTTAGTTTTGAGGTTTAAACTTCAAATGGAATTTTTAGAATTCAAAATATAATAATTTCATATTTAGAAATTTTGAAAAATTCTTTTTATTAAAGTAAATAATCTGGAGGATGTAAATAAATAATTTAGCTTATTAGAAAATTATAAATTAATTCTAAAGTATTTAATTTTGGGTTATGAGAATTGTAGGAATTTAGAATGAAAATCAAATTAAATTAGGAATTTAACTAATATATAAGCTTAATTAATTAATTAATTGGCTTATATTAACATGTGATTATATTAATTGTGTAGATTAATTATTAGTTGAGCAAAGGATTGACCTCGTGGTAATCCTTTCTATTACTTTGGTGAGAGGTAACTACTTTCCACTTGTTATATGTGCTAATATGTTGTTTGTGAGTATTTTGCTATTTTACAATAATGATTTGTTATTTGAAACTCAAGTAGATATGTTATACCTTTTGAGTTATGAAAATTATCTTGTAAGATTTTTGGAATTGTGATTAAGATGTTTGGAAAAATATATGATTTATATCTTATGGATTATACTGAAAAAAGATTGAGACATTTTTCGTTATATTGTGAATGATTAGTTGTTATTTAGATTTTGGGTTGAGCCCTATCTTACCACATGGTAAGACCGCCATTGATGCACAATGGTGGGCTTCTTTTGTCTCTAGAGTAAGGGATAAATCTTTGTGGCTTCTTATTTGTCTCCTAAAGTATGAGAGAGGCCTATAGGAAGGGATAGACCTTTGTGACCTTTTATTTGTCCTCTAAAGTGTGGAATAGGCTTATATGTCTGATTGATCCCCTATAGTGAGGGATAGATTTATGTAGCTTGTGTATTAGCCCTCGTAATGGGGGTTTGGATACTTAAGATTATCTGAATATAGATATTTTATATTTTTATTAATATATCTGTATTTCTTGAGATTTAATAATTGTCCCACTTGATACCTACCAAGCACATATTAGTATATATGATGAGTTGGAAAGCTAGTTACTGAGGCGTTTATCTCACCCCGTGGTTTCTACTATCTATAGTTGATAGTTTAGGTGATGATCTGTCAAAGAAAGCCTTAGAGGCTTAGCATGCTGTTATAGCTTGTATAGTCTCCTTTTTTTGTTTGATATGCTGATTTATTATATATTGCCACATATGGTTTATCTACTTTGATATTGTAAACTAATACATTTGATTATTGCTAATTGATGAGAGGGCCGTTAGAAAGCCAGAGACCTCTAAGACTTTGCACGTGACACCTTTTTGAAAGTATGAATTTTGTTTGGGCTAAGGGTTGAATAATATTTTTGGATTTTGGAAGTTTGAGACCCAAGTTGATAATTAATATTGCTTGTAACATAAGTTTATTCTTTTTAACCATACTAAATTTTATAATTTTAAGATTTCTTTTTTTCTATCATGATTAATCTTTCAAATGAATTGTTTGATTTAATCTAAATCAATTTTTAAAAGAACGGTCGTCACATCAAAGATCTAGGAACATAACAAAAGCCATCTTTAATATGGTATAAGACATCTAAATAGCTAAGACAAATACCTTTTAAGGAGTAAGACGAAAGAAGTTTCAACCGATGAATTATTTGTATTCTTCAAGTGAGCGTATTCTACTTTTGATTATTTTGCCCTTGAATGAACTTTGCTATTTTTATGATTTTGTATATTTTCAATTATACATGGTACGCATATAGAGATGCACATGTTTAACATACGCTTTAATATTATACAATATCATTACCACATCCCTTCTCTAATTAGCAAATCACAACCATTAAAAAGTATTGTTCTTTGCACGAACCATAATATGTACTCCTTTTGGTCTTAAACTAAAAATTTCTTCCCTTGCGATGCACAAACTAGAATATTTGCCTGTGCGGTGCACAAACTAGAATATTTGATTAGATTTTAAATTCTAACAAATCATAGTATCTAAGGTAGCTCAAGATTCAATTCTATTGGAGTATGATTTTTTTATTCATTCAAATAGGATTTAAATTAGAGATGTGGATTTTAGGGGGTAACATATGATAATTTAAAATTAACTATCTATTTCTTCATTTAAGCCTTTAATTGACATACTATTTAATTATGATGCTTTTCATTTAATTCAATATACTCAAATCCCAATCAAGACATTATTCAAATTCAAAATTAATCATTAATTTCTTCATTTGAGTCTCCAATTGAAATCCTATTTAATAATGATGCTCATCATTTAATTCAATATATCCCAAGACTGGGAATTAAACTGATCGAGACAGTGTGTTAAGAGTCACTGGTTGGATCGAGGTCAGACCGGTCATATTAAAATAATAAAATTTAATTCATAATATCAAAATACAACAACCATCACTACTAATCATGATAATTTTATTCCCCAGATAAATAGTCAAACACACATTTATTTTAACTTATACAATTCATATCTAAAATCTATCACTACTACTGCTACTTATGATAAGACTCGAAAAATTTAATTAAACTTAAATATTGAGGCAATGTAATTATATCAGTACCAGACCCTATTGTATTATTAGAGGTGAACTCTGAGCATAAGAAAAAAAGCCAGAATGATTAACTTTCTTAATGTCAAGCATAGTTTCACTACCAGGGAGTAAAAAACAATTTGAAGCATAATACTTTATCCCCACTAAGGCATATTTGTAATTAAATTAGTATTCTTGACAAGAAAAAGAAAAGAGATAGAAACAAAGATCTCATTTAAGAAACAACAGTAATGGCAGAGATGATTTCCATTTTAGGAAAAAGAAAAAAAACTACTCTAAGCTCCAAAAGAGTACAGATGATTTGTATCTTATCGAAGGAGAAAGTGGAGCTTCACCTTGAAGCACAACAGACTGACAGAGATGATTTGCTGACTTGCTGCAGAGCACAACATGTAGATGCCAAGGATTGAAGGAGAAGATCGAGATACGAGTAGGATATGGAGGCAGACCACGATGAAATGGGATTTCAGATCTTGGGGGCAGACCGTTTGGCCTTCCATCTTCGATTGAGGCTGGCAGAAGCAAAATGTAGACATTAGGGATTTGGAGGAGGGAACGAGAAGCAAATACTCAAACTAAGAAGGGAAGGGAATGAGATTTCAGATTTGGGGGCCAATAGTCTTCAATTCAACTTTTTTTTTTTTAAATTTTATTTTTAAATTAAATGACATCGTCTTGGGCATTTTTTAGAGTGAAAAAGTTAAACTTGGTAGCCCACTCCAACCGATGGGTTCCCGATTCAATACTAGTTTTAGAAGGATTGATCGGTTTTTTAACTGTTTGATCCTCGGTAGGTTTATTCCTCAAATCAAACCAGACTATGGAGTGGTCAAACTGACCAATTTGGCCTAGTTTTTCCCATTGATATGTGCAAATTCCAATCAAAATATTATTCAGATTTCATTCATTAAATATATTCAGATCTTATAATGTCATACTCACTTGTTTATAAATGAATCGAGTATTACAAGTTTTTAAAAATTATAGTTGATAGTTGATAACTAATGATTGATTGATAGCTGATGATATATGGGCTATATCACTAACTTACATGTATTTAAAAAATTATTTAAGTTAATTATTCTTAATAAATGTGGGTTGGTTTGTGGAAAATACTCCCTTTCATTGTTACTCCATCGATGAAATCCCTTTTTAAATAGGCAAAAAATGCAATCATTAGGAGTAGTTTGGAAAAAATTTATAAATTTGAGAGATAGGATGGAGTGATGTCTTATAAATAAACACTTCAAATAGCTCATATTTAGAAGTATTACAATAAATTTTTGATGCAGGTATTTAGGATTTTTTGTTATTTTAATTTTAATTTTAATTATTTAATTTATCTTAATTAATTATTTACTTTTGTAGTTAGTTACTTAGTGGGCAGTTATCTTAACCCCACTCTCCCCCACTCCTTTATTTTTAGATTTTTATTATTATTTTATTTTTATACTTAGTTTAGGATATAAACATTAATAGAGTTTTATTTTGACAGCAAACTGCAATATATGATTGAATGTTACAGACTTATTCTCTTTTAGTTTTTTTCCTCTTTCTTTCCTAATTTCCTCTGTTTTTTCCTTAATTTCTCTATTTTTCTTTTTGTTTTACATATATTTTATATTTTATATTAATGACCTTGAAAATAATAATATTTACTGACTAATTGTCATGACGTGGGCCTGGGCATGATAACGTCACTAACAGAAGCGCTTGGCCCAATCCAAACAGCATCCCAATCAGTTAATTAATTATTGATTATTTAAATTGTTTTTTCGATTGAAGACAATTTTATTAATTATTTAATTAAGTACCAAAATGAATCAATACGAAAAGAACCGTTGTGAACTTGTGGGGCCTCTCGAGGAGAGAATGAAATATTCCAACGTGGAGGTGCCAATGCCAATGAGCATTGGACGCTGACGTTCAGCCTCCAACGGCTAGCTTGGGCCGCGCAACATGGAAAGGATAATACTTCCTCTCTTTATTCAATTTTCTTAATAAATTTATTTTTTTATAAGATTTTTTTTAGTTTATTTAAAAATTTAATACATCATTACTTATTTTATCTTTAATTTAATGCATTTAATATATTCTTTTTCTTTATTTATTTTATCATTATTTTAATGCATTTAATATATTCTTTTTCTTTATTTATTTTATTATTATTTTTTTACATTTACCTATTATATAAGGGTATATTTAAAAAAATTATATTTATTACATATTAATTACTTTTAACTAATTTTAATTATTTTTTTAAACCGTGTAATTTAGTTAAAAAGCTCTTATAATATAAGTCGGAATAGTATATAATATAATAATAATAAATTGAAAAAAGGGAAAATAGCATTTGTTATTGATGTGATTATTTGTCTGGCTCTGCGCTGCGCGTTATGTTCCACCAACCCCTCTTGCCCTCTCTCGCGATCAGAAAAGTCAGATTCATCCACGTGTCTTAATTCTTCTGCTCCGTCCAGCTATCCGTTAGCCCTACTCTGTTTCTTCTCGTTCTGCAACTTCTCCTCTGCCATTGAAGAGGAAAATAGGCAAAAAAGAAAAGAAGGCAAAAGAAAATAGTAAATTTCCATTCAAATGGGAAAGCTGCTGTGTGATTCAACGACTGTTGCCGAGTCCTTTCAGGGTTCGTCGCCGATTGTTCCTTGGAGGGATCCGAAATCTGCGCCTCTTGAAGCCATCAAAGCTGTAGATCTCGTTAACCAGGCGAGTGTCGCCGCCGTGAGCGATGGTTGGGAAGATGTTCTTGGTTTAGAAGAGCAACAGAGGCGGCACTTACAGAGGCTGCAGTCCAAGGGCGTGCTTTGGAAGCCACCTGAGGATGAGCATTCCTCTACGCTCAGATCCGTCGTTTTCCGCCTTTCTCACGGCGGTGAGGTCTCGGCAGACGGCAACTGCCTCTTCACGGCTTCTCAGAAGGCGATGTGCGGTGAAATCGACGCGCGGGATCTGAGGAAGCGCACGGTGAGCAGGTTCTCGGACGATCTTGGATCTGCGACTTTTCAGGAGAGAGAAAGCATTGACGATGCGATTCGGCACATGTACTCGCCGGATCTGAGGAATGGGTGGGGTGTACATGTTGTCCAGGAGGTGAAGTTGTTGGCCAATAAGGGAGATCGTGTAGCCCTTGATTCGGCCATCGATGAGCTCGTTCAGCTTGGGATGCAGAGGTATTGTTTGCTAGGGCTCATTTTTAGAGCTGTTTCCTTATTTTTTCCATTTTCTTCTTTTGCTCAGCAAGGTTACGTTAGTCTATTGAACGCATTTTGCAACCCATTTTTCTACCTAAAAACACGTTTAGGAATTAGGACTGTTATCACGATAGCGTGTGTTATTGGCTTCTGAACTAGCTATTGCGGAATCTCAATACCGTCAGATTTTATGTGCACCTGATAGACTTTATCAATTAGCTTTCCAAATTTCTCTAGGTGCTCTTTGGCTATTCTAATATTTTCAGAAACCTATATCTCCTGTTCTAGACATTCTTTTATTCTCTTCATCATCTCGTTGATAATATGGCACACCATAGCTGCATGAACTTCGCACACCATTGAGTGTGTTTTGGTAAAGCTGTAGGGACATTAGGCATCAGGATTTATACTTTATTTATTTATTTATTTTGTAGGACGTGTTAATCTTTCTATCAGGTCCTAGCAGAGAAAGAGTGCATTTTTTGATGCTTTTATGTGATGCTTTTAAAATATTTGTTTAGCATATTCTGGTTGAAGTTTGGGATGGACCATATGAGTCCAGAATGTTGTTTACCTTTACCATTACTTGTTTTCTTTACTATCTACTTTTCTGATTGAAGAGAAATGGCGGCAGAGTCTATTTACAAAGAGAGATGTATTCCAGTGAACGATGGTCCCAGTTGGGCCAAATACATGTTGATTTCTGGATCTCCTGATGATGAGTATGATATCATCACTTTGCAATATACTGAGGAGGGCTTGTTATCTGTAGATGAGAATCGAGAGGGTCATGCTGCAGCTTTTGGTGATGACATAGCGATAGAGTGCCTAGCAACAGAGTTCAAGAGAGAAATATATGTGGTAAGTAGTCTCGGATGCTTTGGTCGTTAGGGCTGGAGTTACTTTTTCCTTACGGTAAGCTTAGATTCTGACATAGATGTGGAGATTTTGTTCTACTCCTCCGGTCGTTAATATAAAACCTAATTGTTGAATTGGTTTTGGTCCTAAATATAGGACCCATTTTTCTTATTTATTAATTTTTTCTAAATTATCTCTATTGATACTCCCTCAACCATAATCAAATGAAAGAGGAAAGTGGGTATTAAGAAAGATGATTATGGTGTTTTAGAAAAAATGTGTCACTTTTCTTATAATTAACTAACTTACCTAATTTCCTTAATCTAATCAAATTAGTTAAATAGGTCTTATATTAAGAACCAGAGAAGTAGTTATTATCTATCCCATTAGAGTTTAGTGATAAAAAAATCTTAAACTTTTGAGTAAATTAAAGTAAATTCTCCCAAATCTTGCTGAAATTACATATTTATCTCTTTTTCAAAATATATACTCACCTTCTGAAAACATAAAATTATCCTTAGTCGGTTTCAATTTTTCAAAACAAAAAAATTGAAGTGAAGGATATTTTTGTAAACAAAAAAATTAATTGAAGTTTAGAGTTGCTTTTTTATTTCACGAGTTATATATTTATTGAAAATAGGAAGCAGATTATCCATAAAATCTAACAGAATTTAGAGGAAAATTGTGGAATTCAGTTTGTTATTTCATCTGACAATTGACTTTTTGCATGCACGTGGAATTTGTCATCCTTCATTAAGGTTGCGTCTAAGTTGTTTTAATTGTTTCCAGGTCCAAGCACATGGTTCTGATGCTATGGTTGACGAAGAAAACTGTGTTTTCTTCCTTCCGCATCGTCCAAGGAGCCAGATTCTGGAACCTCCCATTTTTCTCTTCATGAAAGGAACAGGTAAAGAAGCAGACATCCTGCAATTGGCTATTTTTGCGTACTTTTAAGTGGTAGGCTTAGTTGGAGGGTAAGTCGAGAGGCTTTTAGAAGATCAAACTCGGTTGAAAAATGGTCTTTTAAAGACTAAATTATAGGTCACAAAAAGATGGCAAGAAAAAAAAAAAAAGGAAGACCCTATTAAAGGGTTTTATCTCGACAACCAAATTAAGGAGAGAAAATCCTTTACTGGACCAAAATGCTGTAGACTAAATTGAGAGACTCTAGAAGATCTAAATGGTAGAAAAGTGATCTTTTAAAGACTAATTAAGGGTTACCACGAAGGAAAAAAAAGACTATCAAATGATTTTATCTGAAGAACCAAATTAAGAAGAACTAGATCATCGATCTAACTTGTTGGTAAGGTTTTTTCATTTCTTGCCACTTATTTTATACTCTGAGACAAAGATAGAATCAAAATATTTTCTTTGCCTCTTAAGCCTTCTGGTTAAGTCAAAAGGTAGAGTGGTAGACTAGATATAGATACCTTGTGTCTGTAATGTCCTTTTCAAATTGATTCTCTATGAAATTTTCCACACAGGTTGGTGCGGTGCTGGGGCTGAGCATTACGAGCCCCTGATTGCTCATACCTTGTGTCTGTAATGTACTTTTCAAATTGATTCTGTATGCAATTTTCCACACAGGTTGGTGCGGTGCTGGGGCTGACCATTACGAGCCCCTGATTGCTCATCCCTCCTCACTGGTTTCGCCAGAGAAGGTTGCTGTTGTACTGTGAGGCTCTCGGCCTTCAATTTTGTGGAATAGATACTCTGTGAGAGAGAGAGAGAGAGAGAGAGAGAGTAGCTTTTTAGTTGTTTTCTCCCCTATATTTATGTTTTGGTATGCAGTGTCTCTCCCCTGATAACTACTAGTCAGAAGCCAAGGGGGGTAAATAGCATTGCATAGCATTTATTTTTCTTTATGGTTTCCATCATTTAAAAATCAATTACCATTGACTCCTAGCAAGCAGGTTTGCCTGCAGTTAAGCAACCTAGGTAGTATAATTTTTGTAGTTTTGCCGGCTTCTGTTGTTCCTTTTTGTTGAGTTGATTAGAGAGGAGGGTACAGCATGTAGGTAGTGTCTTGTTCAAACTGAAGGTTGTATCGTGGGGGGTGAGTTTCATCAATTGAATGAAGGAAAGTGACTCCTTGTTTTTTGGGCCATATACGACTGGTCACTTTGGATTTCTATGCAGAATTTTGACCACCTTTGAATTGAACTTTGACATGGTTAATTTTTTAACTTCACATATTTCTGAAGCAATAAAATACCACGTTATTTATACATTAACCAGTTAAAATGCTACATTTCATATCCATTTCAATCCTACATGGCATTAATTTTCTCTCCAACTTATTTCCCTAATTTTAAATTATATTAAGGGGGTGTTTGGATATAACCAAACTATGGTTTGGAGAATAGTTCTGGAGAATAGATTTGGGGAGAATGGATTTTTGAAGAATAGATTTTGTGAAAAAGTTTTTCTGAGAAGTGAGAGTGCTTGGATAGTTGTTACCAGAAGCACTTTTTACATGTATAAATTATTAAAAAAGGCATAAGTTAATATAATTACAGAAAAATATATTTTAATTTGAAGGAATAAAATTGTTAATAATATATTTTTTTATTAACATAATTAATAATACATAAGATAATATAATTAATAATTAATTAATATGTATATATATTTATAAGATATAAAATTAAATATATTTATAAAAAATATGTTTATAAAAAAAATAACAAGATACATATCTTATAGGCTTTTACACTCTTTTTTTTTTTTCCAAAAGCAAAAATTTTTTGCTTTTTCCAAAACTATAGTTTTGGAGCCAAAATCATGGTTTTGACTCAACCATGGTTTTGGTTTTTTTAAGGGTATGTTTGGCTCAATGAGAGGAAGGAGAGGGGAGGGATTTTAATGGAGAGAAAGGGAGGGGAGGGGAGTGGAAGGATTTTAATATTATCTTGTTTGGATTTATAAAAAAAGAGGGGAGGGGAGTGGAAGGATTTTAATATTATCTTGTTTGGATTTATAAAAAAAGAGGGGAGGGGAGGGAAAATATTTTAATATGGATAGTTTTGCTTTTATTTTATTCAAGGTGTGGGCATAATGGTCATAACATGACAAAATATAAACATAATGGTCACAGCATGACAAAATATGGACATAATGATCATAATATGATAAAATATTACCATTTCCCTCGAAATCCTCCCAATTTTGGAGGGGAGGTTGAGGAGGGGAGGGGAGGGGAAATTTTAAAAATTTTTCCCTCTCCTCCTAAAATTTGTATGTTGCCAAATAAGGAAAAATGATTAAAATCCCTCCCCTTCCCTTTCCTCCCTCCCAAATCCCTCATACAAAACACATCCTAAGGGTGTTTGGGTGATTTTTTTCCAAACCATGGTTTGGGTTATCACCCAAACACCCCCTAAGTAATGTTTGTTCAATCTAAAAAGTGTCTCTTCCTATTCTCCTTCACGCTACCCCCTCTTTGTTATTTTGACACAACATGATCAATTTCACGGATTCTCTTCCGATCCACTACGACTGGTCAAGCATTCATCTTTTAGACCCCCCTCCCCCAAATATAAAAAAAACCCCTATGGGAAACAGATTTAAAATTGGGTTAATAATTAAATTTTGCTCGAAGAGCGTCTCATACTAATTAGTGTTGAAGAGTGCATAATTAACAACAAAATCTTATCCTACTAGGTGAGGTTATTTATATAAATCGTATGATGTCATTAAGCCATATCTGTAGCCAAATCTTTGAATATATTGTTAATTGAAAGATCTCGTTCAATGACTTTATTAAGTGTTGTTTTACTCATCTTTAGAGGACTTCATACTGTTTGATCAACTTTTTTCACTGGTGCATCTCAAAGCCTTCTTTGCACATGACCAAACTATCTCAATCGGTTTTCTACCATTTTCTCATCAACAGCAGCCACTCCAACTTTTCCTCATATATGTTCATTACGGATCTTGTCTTTTCTTGTATGACCATACATCCATTTCAGTATTCTCATCTCAGCAATTGCCACTTTATATTCATATTGTCCCTTTAAAGCCTAACACCCATTACCATATAGCATTGTTGATCTTATAGCAGTGTGGTAAAACTTTCCTTTGACCTTATTAGGTACTTTCCAATCACACAGATAACTCCTGTCGCTTTTGTCTATTTAAACCACCCATTTTTTTGTATAATTGATTCCAAATATTTACACTTTTCTATTTGTGGAATGACTTGATCTCCCAATTTGACCTCCCAATATGTTCTAACTTGTCTCTTATAAAAAATGTAATGCATATATTTTGTCTTGCTTTTACTTGAATGGAAACCCCTTGATTCCAAGGTCGTTCTCCATGTTCTAAGTTTAGCAGTAATCTCTTCTTTTGACTCGACCAATAAAACTATATCATCAGCAAAAAGCATGCACTTAGGATTTCTTCTTTGATATGCTCAATTAGAACATCAAAAACTAAGTTAAACATATAAGGGCTCAAATGCAGGACAATCCTTATAGGAAAGTGCTTTGTCTTACCACTCACGTTCTAACACTAGTTGTGACCCCCTCATACATGTCTTGGATGATTTTGATATAATCAACACACACACCTTTCTTCTTCAAAGCACTTCTTTAGGCACACGGTTGTAAGCTTTTTTCAAATCAATAAAAATCATATGCAAGTCTCTTCTGTGGGTTCGGTACTTTTCCATTAACTCCCTCAATAAATAAATCACTTCTGTTGTCGATCTTCCTAGTATGAACCCAAATTGGTTTTTAGAAATACATGTCTCCAATCTCAACCTATATTCTATCACCTTCTCCCACAATTTCATGATATGGCTCATGAGCTTAATCCCTCTATAGCTAGTACAGTCCTGGATATCCCTTTTATTATTATAAATAGGTACTAAAGTACTTTTTCTCCAATCATCAGGCATTTTCTTGGAACGCAATGTCTCATTGAATAACTTAGTAAGCCACAACATACCACATTCACCCAGACATTTTCAAATTTTAATAGGAATACCATCAGGTCCAACTGCTTTATTGGTTTCTATTTTCTTGAGAGCTTCCTTAACTTCACCAACTTGAATTCTTTGATAAAAAGCTAAATTATGTTCCTCTTCTCCAATTGTCAAATCTTCAAACTCATAAGTCAATCCTTCACCCCTATCCTTAAATAGCTTATAAAAGTAGGCTTCCTATCGATCCTTAATATTACCATCAATAACCAAAACTCTACCTTCTTCGTCCTTTATACATCTTCTTTGGTCCAAATATCTTGTTTTTCTTTCTTTATTCTTTGTGATATTGTAAATCTTACGTCTCCCAGCCTTAGTCCCTAAATTCTTATAGAACTCCTCAAAAGCTTTAGAACGAGTTTCACCCATTGCTTTCCTAGTCTTTTTATTACACAAATGTATTGTTTTAAAACAATCTTGCTTATGCTTGATTTTCTCTTCCACATTCTCATTCCACCATCATGTCTCCTTATCTCACCAACCATGATCTTTCGATTCACCCAAAATTGTTTTAGCAGCCTTTTGGACCTTCTTAGTCATTTCCGTCCACATAAGTTAGCATTTCCCTATAGCTCCCAGACCCCTTCCTTTAAAAGAGTTCTTTTAAAAGTCTCTCGCTTCTTTTCCTTTAATTGCCACCATTTGACCCTTAAGGTTGATACTTGTTGGCACTTTCATTTTATATACTTAATATGCATATCAAGGACTACTACCTTATGTTGTATTGTCACGCCATCTCCACAAATCACTTTACAATTTGTGCAAAGTTTTTTATCAGGATTCCTTACCAAAAAGAAATCAATCTACAACTTAGAGATTCCACTCTTGTAAGTGACTAAAATGCTCCTCTCGCTTCTTAAAGTAAGTGTTAACAATCTTGAGGTTGTACACGAAGGAGAAATCAATAATAGTTTGCCTTTCGTTATTACGCACTCTAAAACCCATACCACCATGTGCCCCTGCATATTGTCCCGCTTTTTTACCAATATGTCTATTAAGATCATTGCTAATAAAAATCTTTTCGGCATGCTTTGAATCAAACCCTCCATATCCGTCCAAAATTTCTCCTTAAGATGGTCTTCTGCCCCTACTTAAGGTGTATAACACTAACCATATTGATAGTATCCCTCCCCATGATTATTCTTAAAGAAATAATTCTGTCTTCTATCCTTTTGTCTTCCACCACATTTTTTTTCCATTTATTATCGATGATAATACTAGCTCCATTCCTTGTGCCTACCTTTCCCATGTATCAAAGTTTGAATCCATAGTAAATTCAAAAGCCTTTTCTCCAACGTATTTAGTTTCTTGGAGGCATAAAATATTAATCTTCCGTTTGTCAATTACTTCCACCACCTCCCTTGATTTACTATACAGGGTCCTAATGTTCCAAGTGCCAAACTTGATCTTGCTTTTATGAACTAACTTCTTTAACTACCTCCATCCATAAGAGTGCGATAACCCTTGCTTATTTAACACTACATTCGGGTGATAATGCAGCTGCTCTTGCTCACTTCTTATTGTATCCGAGCCATACATCACATTACTTCTTGGCAACGACCTTAGCAGTAGCACAATTTCTTTGTTGATCCATGTCATAAAAGATTCGATAGATTTTTACGTTGGCTGTTGAGGCCCTAACACAACCCTCCTCCTTCACCCGGGCTTGGGACCGGCTATGCAACATAGGTGGAGTTGAAGGGTGCAAAATTAAACAATTATTAAAAAATAGGAGCATTTTTACCACTTGTTTACAAATCTAAACATCTATTACTTTTAGTTTGGTGGATCCCAATTCTTTCTTGGCTTTTCTTTTTGATAAAATGTAAATTTTATTGAAGTATTAAGTAACCTGATTACATAAAAACGCTGGCCAGTCAAATTTGGTCAACTTAAGCAAAGCTCAAATAGACCAAGAAAAAAGGCTGGCCTAACATGATAAAAACAAAAAAGAAGAACAAAACTAACAATAAAAACAATAGAAGAAACTAACATAATAAGATCATAAAAATATAACTGCTACAGAGATAATCGTGAAATTAGAGAAGAGTTGGAGATAGAACCTGATCCATGATACTTTGAATCCAGAGAGATGGTGCTACAACCAAAGGAAACCAATGAA